TTTTTTCCGGGCTAAACGGGCCGGCCCGTCGGGCCAAGGACCATTTAACATCTCTATGTACGGGGATCTCTCTCCAAACTGAAAAAACTTTATTAAGCAACACGCAAAAGCCCATCACGGCTCTTTACCTCGGTTCACCTCGGATCGGGGCCATTGTTGAGTTAATCTTACATGCTTTACGTCCAAATCATTCAAAATTATCCGCTTAATCACGAGTTACATCGTTGTTAAAAATCACATAACAACAGCCATCAGGGCTATCAGAGATTGTTATGAGGTGTGGACCACTCGTGTGGTTCCACATGGTTTTACTCATGTGGGGTTTCAATTCCCTGAAGTTTCTTTCTTGTTATTTAGTCCACTCCATTAGGTGGTCTAATCCTGCACTCATCCTCAATTACTTTGAGGTGGACTGTCCTGTTCATTTGGTCGATCCCTCGACCATATGCTCTTTCAAAGTGTGTTACAACCAGGCCCTCCGAGGGCCTCTATTCGACCTGCTAGTGTCCTCTGTGCCTTCAGTGCATCCTTCGACCTGAGGGTCTTTCAACCTGAGGAATCTCCATCCTCCATTCGACCTGATGGTCAGTTTAGTTCAGTTCGATTGTCTCTCTGGTCTAGTCGGCGTGGTACGGTTATCCCATATCAGAGGGGATTGTAAAAAAAAAAAAATAGTTTTGTACTGATTTTAGTTCCATTTTTTGTAAGTGAAAAACTTAGAAAATTCTCAAAATCATTTTAAGGTGAATGAGAAATTAATTCTAAATTGTATATGTGGGAAATGTAATGTTGGAGAAATCGAATTTAAGCAACTCAATATTATTGGATTCAGAACATTATGTCTTTGACGAATGTTAGGACAAACCAAATGAGACTTGATCATGTTGTTTGTAAACTAGAAATGTAGAAGGATTCGTTGGGGATTAGTAGGGAAAAAAAAAGAACTCGATTCAGAGTCCGAATGAGCTCGTACGAGCCTGGGCGCACGGGCGCACAACTAGTTGCAGCCAGCGGAGGGTTGCGCTCCCTGGTGACTATAAGGTGTCTTTTGGCCTCTGTATGATCCCCTTCTCATTCGGGTACATTTCAAAAGGTGTTTTTTTAATACTTAAATCTCTTAGAGGTATTTTTCTACATGTATAAATACGCACAAACATGAAATCATTTATAACTTAGATAATTAAGTGCTCTTGCATTATATTTTTAACGTTCATAACGCATATTGTGTTCTTTGATTTTTTCATTGAGTCTTGAGAGTTCTAAACAATAGTATTGTTCATCAAAGACTTATATATTTGAAATACCGCTATATACAAGTCCAAAGTCGTTGTATGTTGGAGGCGTTTGTAGTTAACTTTGGGTATTTTACGGGACAATTTTGTCTTAAGAGAAGAACTATTATGTTCCTTGACTTTGATTGTGCATTTGTTTTTCTCTGTTCTCCTTAAGACATCTTCTTGATATTCACGAACTACAAAAGCCATAAGTTGTCGAAAGCTGAGTGGCATAACTTGGGAGTTGTAGGAGAGAGATCAAATGATTTTTCAGAGATGGTGGAGAGAAGTTTGTACCTCTGTGAATGTAGTTTGTATGGAAGAAATAATTTTTCTATCCATCTGTTGTGGTGGATATGGAAATCTAGGAATAAATGGGTGTTTAAGGGGGAATATATTCATGAAAAAGAACTGGTGGAGGGGGCTAGAAGTGTGTTGGAGTTCTTGTCTATGAAGGAAAAATTTGTTGCTTAGAAGACTTTATTGAAGGCTCAATTGAATCTCAAGAAGATAACTTTTTAAATGAGCAAGTCAACTAATTTTGGCTCTCACTGCTTTAATATTTTCTGAAGGTAAGGTTGTGATGGGACGTTATGTTAAAATGGAAGAAAGGGTCATTCACAGGTGGTCAGTTGCTTTGGACTGGGAGGGAAACTCTTAAGATGCTTTGCTTCATGTGAGATGGGGGCTTAAGGAGGCCACAAATTTGAGTTGGCATTCCTTTACTTGCTTTATTAATGAGAAAAACATTGCAACTTCCTTGAATAAAAAATGTACGTTTCCTAGCAGTGCTAGAACAATTGTGGAGGATATGTACCTTCTAGCTAAGTTTTGTTTTATCAGTTCCTTTGAGTTTGATTTGTATGTCTGCTCATCTAATATTGCTTTGGCTGGTTTGGCTGTAGAGGGGGGATACGTTGGCCTACTAGTTTAGTTCTTATTTCCTTTCAGTTAGCAAGAAGTTAGGACTTTGTAATCAATTGATAACCCTTGTACTTTTGTCTTTTGAGTTTATATATAATTTTCTAGTATGTCGTTTGAGAAAAAAAAAAGTAACATATCATATCGCCTTTATGTATAATTCTCGAATATGTTGAGGCTAAATGACAAGTGTGTATGTTTTGTAAGCTTATTTGGTATAAATTTGTGCTTCATATTGACAAATGCACAACTTTGATTTTGACTATTAGCATTGGGAATTACCATAAACTATTTTAGTTTTCATTTCTTCTTAAGTTACCATATACTACTCTAACATTTTCTTATTTAATTCATATATTAGGTATTATAAATGTGTATTTTGTTTTAATTTTTAAAACTTTGTAACTTTTTTATTTTATTTTTTATATATTATATATCAAAATAACCATATAGTAACGATATTCAATTTGACATCCATATTGCATATATAAAATAAAAAATAATTTCATCTATCTTTGTATAAAAGTAATTTTATTATCAAATCAACTTAAAAAAATCTCAAATAACAATATAAATTATTTCATAAAAGTAATAAGAATATAATTTATCAATACAACATAAAATAATCAATTTAACGTGTTTTTCATAAATTTTACATAAAATATGAAAATTGCTGATTTCATAAAATAAGTTAAAAATAATATAAAATATTATTTCTCGATTTAAATATATCAAATAAATAACTAAATGTTATTAAGTTCATTTAAATAATAAGTATAAAAGAATATCATAATTAAATATAATAAAATAAATTTACTTATCATAAAGTTAATAATAATACATTCATGTATAATTAATATTCTAAATTATATGGTTATAAAATAATAGAAATTAATAAATGAGAGACACTGCCTCTATAAATATAAAACATAATACCACAATACAATTGAATTTGTTTTGTTTTAAAATATATGGATTTGTAAATAATATTTGATTTAGACACGTATAATTTTAAAAATATAATTAAATATTATTTTTGACAGATTTAGTGTAAAATTATATGGGTAGTTTTAAATTGATTATCAATTATTTATTTATTTATTATTGTTCTATACTCATTTTACATAATTTTACAATAAAAGTATGAATTATTTTTTTTTTAATTGTACAAATATTAATATATTTAAAGATAAAAGATTTTTATACTTCCTTATAAGATAAAAGATATTAATTAGACAAATATCTCTCACTATATATTAATTCAAAACGTGTTGAGCCTAGGTGGCAGATTCTCACGCTTCGGATGTTGACATGGCGAAAATCTATGCTTCGTGATGTTGTTTTTATATTATTTTTGCTGCTTCGTGATGTTGTTTTTATATTATTTTTGCTCTAGAGTTAGGTTTGGTATTAGATATAAATAACTTTATACATATATTCATTAATTCAACACCCATGTTGTACATCAGTATTAATACTAGGAGGAATGCTCACCTACCCACGGTGGGCACATATTAATATGCCCACCGCTTATGTGACATTCACTCGTGATGTATTTTTTTAAACATATTAACATCATCAATATGTACATATCACATAAGCAGTGGAAATATTAATATATGCCCACCGTGGTAGGGGAGCATTATCCTAAATACTAGTTACTATTTTAAAGATAAAAGATTTTTATACTTCCTTATAAATATCCCCTCCAAAATAATAATATCCTCCATTTCTCATTTCCACAGTGAAGAGGTGTGGAAGTAGAAACCACCATAGAAAACAAACACTAAACCCTTATCCCCTAATTCCCCACCTCTCTCCCAACAACCATGGCCTGCTCCTCATCCATTATCGGCGTCTCCTCCATATACCAACCCAACCCCGCCCTCGACCCCAAGAAACCCGCCCCGCCGTCTCTGCACCTCCATTTCTCCGCCGCCCGCAACAGTTTGAGAGCTTTCTCGTCGTCGCGTCACAAGTCCGGCGCGGGTCTTGCAGTATCCTTCGTGCCGTCGGCCATCGCGACCTCGAACTCGTCGGTGTTGAGCGAGGAGGCGTTCAAGGGTCTCGGAGGTTTCGGAGACGTTAGCGACGGCGAGTACGGCGAATTGGAGGAGGATGAGTCTGGGAACATGGACGAGCTCGATATTTCTAGGATTGGTTTGCCCCAGCGGCTCGTGGACACGCTTGCGAAGCGTGGTATTAAGGAGCTTTTCCCCATTCAGGTATATGATTCTTTGTCCTTTTGTTTTCTTTTCTTATTTTTGGAAAAAAAAAAAATTGAACTTTGAGGTCTCAGAGAACAATTTCTGTTAAGCACACAACAAGGTCTGGAGGAAGATAGTATACATTTGATAGAGCAACCTTCATACTATATAAGCGATAATCATAATATTATTCTGAAAGTGTTTTATTCGGTTGCCAAAAAGTTCTTTGACATGCGTAGCATATCATTTCCCAACTGTAGTTCTTTACAAATTATGCTTGGGGTTACCATTTCAATATCAGTGCCACCCGAACGTTCAGTTCCATTTGGTATTAATATTTTTGCTAAAAGCTTTCATGTATTGCTCGGTATAACCGCTTCTTTTTCTTCATTTTGCGTGTGCAGAGGGCTGTTTTAGTCCCAGCACTGGAAGGTAGAGACATAATTGCACGAGCAAAGACTGGAACTGGCAAAACATTGGCATTTGGTATTCCCATTCTCAAAGGACTTAGTGATCAGGATCAAGAAAGTTTTCCTATAAGGTATAATATGCAAATCAGGCGTTAAAAATTACTTTGTGTTTTTTCTTACTATGACCAGTTAATAATATTTATTTATTTTGATTGAAGACGAGGTCGGCTTCCAAAAGTATTGGTCCTTGCGCCTACCCGGGAGTTGGCTAAGCAAGTCGAGAAAGAATTTAAAGAGTCGGCTCCATATTTGAACACTGTTTGCATCTACGGAGGGGTTTCATACGTCACACAAGAGAGTGCACTCTCGCGTGGTGTTGATATTGTAGTTGGAACACCCGGTAGAATCATTGATCTTATCAACAATAACCACCTGAAATTAGGAGAAGTTCAGTACTTGGTTCTCGATGAGGCCGATCAGATGCTCGCTGTGGGGTTTGAGGAAGACGTAGAGGTCATTCTTGAGAAGCTTCCATCACAAAGGCAGAGCATGCTTTTTTCGGCGACTATGCCTGGGTGGGTAAAGAAACTAGCAAGAAAGTTTCTGGACAATCCTCTAACCATTGACCTCGTAAGTTGCTTTCGTTCTTTATTTTATGGCTTTTAATACTAAGTCATTTACTTTGGTGCTAATTAAGTGTGTATTCACTTTAATGGAGTCTGAATAGTTGTCAATGCTCATTTTGATATAGCCAACTATATTTGTTATTTCTTACTGAAAATTTCCATGTCCCATCACAATATATCCCTAGTGTTTCATAGGTGTATTTGTGGCTTATATAACATTCCCTCTCCACATAATTTGGTTAATTGGTTCTCCATGTCAGGTTGGCGATCAGGAGGAAAAATTGGCTGAAGGAATTAAGTTGTATGCTATTTCCACCACCGCTGCATCTAAACGGACAATCCTTAGTGATCTTGTGACGGTATGAAAAGACATTGGTTTCTGAACATGTTGATTTATTGACATAGATACTTCCATAGATGTATATATCTTTTATTCTTAACCTTTGAATTATTTTGTCTTTTCAGGTTTATGCGAGAGGCGGAAAAGCCATTGTTTTTACACAGACCAAACGAGATGCGGATGAAGTCTCTCTAGTACTAACAAATAGCATCGCCTCGGAAGCACTGCATGGTGACATTTCTCAACACCAGAGAGAAAGAACTCTAAATGGTTTTAGACAAGGAAAATTTACAGTGCTCGTTGCCACTGATGTTGCTGCTCGTGGGCTTGATATTCCGAATGTTGACCTTGTAAGTTCATATGATCTTGTTGATATATGTCAATTAAACTGTTGATGACAATGAAAAGCGGTGTTTTAAAAGGAATGATTAAGTTATTTGGGAATGAACTCTCAGAAAGTGTCCACCTTTCCATATCAGTACTGAAAGTCATCACTCTTTTATGTGTCATTTTTATTTATGTGTTAACTGTGGTGTTTTAGCAGTTAGAATGATTTGGTTCTTAAACTGAAACCATAAATTCCACAGGTTATTCACTATGAGCTTCCAAATGACTCGGAAACATTCGTGCATCGATCTGGACGGACGGGACGTGCAGGAAAACAGGGCACGGCAGTTTTGATGTTCACAAGCAACCAACGAAGGACAGTGAAGACCCTCGAGAGGGATGTTGGGTGCAGATTTGAATTTGTTAGTCCACCTTCTGTTCAAGAGGTTTTGGAGTCATCAGCCGAGCACGTAGTTGCCACCCTTGGTGGAGTTCATCCCGAATCTGTTGAATATTTCACTCCAACTGCCCAAAAGCTGTTTGAACAGAAAGGGGTTGATGCTCTTGCTGCTGCTATAGCAACTTTGAGTGGCTTTTCCCGGCCTCCATCATCTCGGTCGTTTATTACTCACGAGCAGGTACCTAACATATCGTAATTTGTTCAGCAATATTATCTATTTTGTTGGCTTATGCCGTAAGGATATCGATTATCTTTGAAATAGAAAGTGTTAACTTTATGAAATTGCTAGCACCTATAATGACCGCATCTTGGAAATTGCATTTTATTTACTAATGTCCCTCTACAAGAGGGGGCAGTATGAAAAAACAGAGGCCAAATTCGTAAGTACGCGTAAGTTTGGAAGGTAGCTAGATCATTCTGTAATTATACAGAACTTCAAGTGCATACTTTGTAATTAGCCATAAATTTCGTGAGATGTTAAATGTTATTTACTTCTCATGCTTGCCAGAGTTTGACTATGTTTGTTTGCAGGGTTTGGTTACATTACAGCTGACCCGTGATAGAGGGTACCTATCTTCTAGATCTGTTACTGGTTTTCTATCTGATGTCTATTCTGCTGCTGCTGATGAAATAGGAAAAATACACCTCATTGCTGATGAAAAGGTGAGTGTCCTAAGATGCTTTTTATATTTGTTCTCTCTCTCTCTCTCTCTCTCTCTCTCTCTCTCTCTCTCTCAC